CTTGATGATTCGGAGTAATATTTAATTTCCTAGCCTCGATAATGAGTCACTGAGGAGTACATCAACCGATTATATGAATTAACCGACAACATCAATATGAATGTTGTGCCCCAAGAAGCCCTTAGATTGGGACTATTTCCTTACTCTCTAAGTGGTAAATCTCGGATTTGGCTCAATAGTCAATCCCTCTATCCATTACATATTGGGATGATTTGGTTCAAAATTTCATGGCGAGGTACTTTCCTCCATCCAAGACTGTCGAGATTCGAAGGAAAATCACCCACTTCGCTCAAGAAGAAGACAAGACCTTGACGGATGCATGGGAACATTACATGGAGTTATTCCTCCAATGCTCTCACCATGTGTTTGAAGAGAATTTCAAGGTTTGAACATTTTACAACAATCTCTTTCAAGAAGAATGGATGCTCATTGGCTAATTGTGCCAAGCACCATGCTCAACAAGACTCCCCCATAAATTGACTGAACCCTTTAACGAAATGGTGGCTAAGGGGTATGATTGGGGCATGACTAGAAGAGAAAGAGACAAGGGTTTACATGCAACTGACTCAAGTTCCTTGCTTGAGGCAATGATTTAAGATGTTGGTAAAGGATGGTTCCTTAAGTAGCCGAGGAAAGAATCAAGCGATAGTGTGTGAATGGTTCTTGAGTACTAACCCTGTGTTGGAGGAATTTAAAATCATGATTAAAGCCACCACCCCGGAGGAGCAAGTAAATTCCATCTCGAATGCTAGGAGAAACAACAACAAAATTACAACTCGGGTTGGCGCAAGCATCCAAATTTCTCATGGGCATTATCTCAACAATATAAGCCACAAGAGGACAAGGTTTTTAACATCAACAACAACCCAGCAAGCTAACCAAGCTTGAAGACCTTGTCACTACCTTTGTGAGTTAGAGCTCTCAAACATTTGAAAAGATTGAGAAGTTCATGTAGGTGGCTACAAGCATATTTTCATCTATTGAATAGGGTCTAAGAAGTCACCAAGATAGTCTCCAAAACTTAGACACTCAAATCGAAAATCTTGTTGAGGCCCTAACCGAGAGACCTCAAGTAGCTATCCCATCTCAAGCTATCGCCAACCCCAAGAACCAAAGAGCGGGGTTGCACGCTATCTTGATTCAAAGCGAAAAAGAGACTCGAGTGGCAACTCCAAAGAAAGTTGAAAAGAATAATCCCTCCACGAAAACCCGAGCAAGTATCCGAGGACAAGAAGGAAGAGGCTCGGGAAGCAAAGCAGACACCACCCCCGTGGTTGAGTAAAAGTCTCAACTTCCTTTCCCTACAAGACAACATAAATATAGTTGGAGGTGGAGTTTCAAAATTTCATGGAAATGCTAAAGAAACTCCATCTGTCTATGCCACTCTTCGAGGATTTGGCCGAAATGCCCAAGTACACCAAATTCTGAAGAAATTGCCTCAGTCACATTGAGTGAGGAATGCTTGGTAATCATCTGGAACAAGCTCCCCCCATAAACAACAGGATGGAGGGAGTTTTACTATCCCCTTAAGCATTGGTGCATTTCATGTAGAAAAATCCTTGGCGGATTTAGGTGCAAGCATCAACGGTATACCTTATAAGCTTTTTCAAAAAATAGGTTTAGGTGAATCTAAGGTGACAAAATTGAGTGTTACATTGGCCGATAGATCGACTGTTTGCCCTAAGAACATTTGCGGAGGATGTCCTAATTTGAGTGGGCAAATTGTACTATCCTATGGATTTCGTGATCTTTGATATATAAGTGAGGATGTAGACGTACCCCTCATACTAGGACAACCATTCCTTTTCACCTCCAAGGCATTAATTGATGTTAATGAAGGCACTTTGATCCTTAGGGACAGTGAGGAGAGAATCACAATTTTTATTACTAATAATGAGAAGTCAATGAATGTGAAAGAAATAGAATTGATATGTGATGTGGTTAAGGGGGAGAACCTCCCAAGGTGAACCCCGAGTGTGTACCTCTTGTTCATGATGATTTTTTGGTTTCTCAAACTTGTGAGGCACCAAAAGGGAAGGCCAAGAAGGAGCGACAACCTAAGTTGAAAGGGCTAATGTTGCTCCATAAGGTTGATTTAAAGCATTTCCAATTCAACACTTGGGGTCTATGAATAAGTGTGATTAGATCCTTTGTGCCATAGTAGGGTTTACCCAATTGTGTGAGTAGTTGTGAATTGTGATTGCCTCAATTACCTAGGCCGGTTTTAGGTACTCCTCTCCTGGTAGTGTAATGGATCAAGATTGGATAACCCGAAATAGGGAGTCCAATCTAGATTAGAGCTCTCCACAGTATATGTTAGAGTGGATCGAATTAGAGTGTCACAACTTTGATACAACCTAGACTAGGGGGAAGCACATTCGGGTAAATCTTCCTTCAATTGAATCCAATTTCATTTACATTCATGCTTGCTTAGTTTTTAATAATTGAAACACCAATTAAATTGCTAGATAATGATAATTCATTGAAGTAAGGGTATATTAACTATGGGCAATTCACCTAGGTTTGAACCAAGCTTGTAAGACTGGTACTCCCCTCCTCATAGTTGAATCAAACTCCCGCCTAACAATCAACCTCATTAATCACAAGGACCCGAATCATCCACACACTACTACTTTGTAAGCTATCAGACATCAATTGACTGTAGGGTGGTTGGTTAGAATGGTTCACACTTAGGGAATAGAGCCGCATACTATCTCTTGAATCACATTCTCATATGTCCTTTTGTATCGTATGAGCTAGCCAAAATCCCCTAGCACATAGCCTAGATTATTATGGAAGGTCTTAGGGGTGTCAGCTTCCCTTGCCAAATTATCCAACTAGATTAGTAGGCGCTTTCTCTTTGTTCTCTGATCCTCAACCTGTATTTTGTGTTTATCCTTTCCTTTTTTCGAGCCCCTTATGCCTATGCTCCTTTTGAATTGACAACATATAATCTTTGTCGGCCTTTTTGCTGGGAGTTGCTAATTGTCGCCCTAACATTTATTTATCTCCCTAACTTAAACTATTAAAATTATATATTTATCCTTTATTAAAGAATATTCTCTTTTTAACAAACAAAATCAATCAACAATAAAAATAATTATGGCCTCCGGCGCTGGAATTAGTGTCGACGGGAACTATGCCCTGTAACCAATCTTGAAGAGTGCTGCTAATCATGGTCTTAATGAAATAGTTATTATGCTTCGCTTTGATTAATGAGTTAAATGGGCAGTTTATTACTGTTTTTGTGATCCAATCAAGTATTGGTTTTTGGTTGAGGGAATTTTAATATTTGATAGATGAGGGTAAAAGGTCAATTTGTCGGATTCGGACTTTGATTGTTGGGTATAAATCATGGCAACATGAATTTGGCTATCTGTGAGTCCCTTCCACCGAATTCTGCTGCCTTCTGAACGCAGGGTTTTTGGAGATGAGGAAGTGAGCGATGTTGACGGAGGATCAGAGACTCTAAGGGGCTTTTAGTTTTGTTCAAATCGATTTAATAGGGATAATTTAGTAATAATATATTTTAAATTAGGGCGATAATAGTAATGTTAGGGCGGTGTTTAGCCATCCAGTTTTTGCCCCCCTCCCCCCAAAAAAAGATAGAATGAACTTAAACACACAAAAGCATGACCATTGTTTGCTATGGTTCGACTGTGTGGTTGCTTCTTTATCGATGTGAAAGGTATTCACCTCCCACTTTTTCTTGACAAAGAAGTCGAAATTGCCAGGAAAGAAAAATGAGGTGTTGTTCATCTCTCTGGTCGGTCGTGGGTTTTTCTAAGATTCGTGGTTGAGTCAATTTAAAATTCTACTTCTCTGTGACCTTGTTGTCATGACATACAAATGACTTTTATGATGCCACTGATCTTAGTCGTAACTATAGAATATCATCTTAAATTTGTTGCCAATGCCTACGTAACTTGGATTACAAGCCGCGACGCCCTCATACCAACCACAAGAAAATTAACAAACACCTTACAATTTATTTACACAAAAACAACAAATCTACCTTTTTTAAACTCCACATCAAGTAGTGTGGAGAATACTTTTTATCTAGCTAAAACTTGAATAATTTACTAGTTAAGTCATTTGTCACAAACTCAATTCTGACTCAAATTGAATTTTTGTAAACATAACTTAATTTTTTTTGACAAAAACTTGTAATAAAGTGCTACTAGAGGGGTGGGGTAAAAGGAGAAATGAGCGTCGTCCGTGAGATTCAAACATGGAAACTCCAATTTGAAAACGAACGACACGACCACTCGATCATAGCCTCATTCGCGACTTAAATTTATTTATTTTTGAATGTTAGTTTTGTATTTTGATTTTATGTTCTTCAATTTTGAAAAGTTTCTTCAATATCAAGGGCAGGGAAACGGTGCGGTCTGGTCCAGACCAGACCATATATACGGTCTGTGGTCCAGACCGAGAGGCTAAAGTATAGACCACAGACTATACGGTCCGGTCCAGACCACGCCTGTGCGGTCTTGTTCGGTCTGGTCTGGTCCAGATAGACCACACTCAACGAAAAATGAATAATTTGTTTAGTTAACCACACAAAAAATTGAACCAATAACCAAGAAAAATAATTGTTATTTGCCTTAAAACATTAATCCTAACATGCATGAATAATTTTGATACTCTAAATCTTAGTACATAACAAAGATACAAAGTAAAAACATCCCAACTTGCACCATAACGTCATAAACATAACATAATGTCATATGGAGACACTATTATCTATACTCTCTAGTTAAATGTGGTTGTGAATGAAGGAGGGAAGAGATTCACAAAATTAAGGTTGAGACTTGGGTGTCGTTGTGGGAGTTTGGAGAGTGGTCGAATGGGCTGTTAACACATATTGACAAGTCAGTTGGGTCCACGGTTTGGTCCGGTAAACCGCGGTCTAGACCAGACCAGACCAGACCAAGAGATCAAATCATAAAATAATACAGACCATGGATCAGACCAGACCATACTTCACGGTCTACGATCCGGACCAAACTGTGCGGTACGGTTTGGACCACGGTTTTTCTAACGGTCTGGTCTATTTTCCCACCCCTACACGATTGGAAATTGTATTATATTATATAGAAGAGCGCGTGAATAGCACGTTACATTGCGGACAAAGCGGCGGGTGCCAGGTTCGATACATAATTATTGTTTTAGCTTTTCCCCGTTTCCCTGTTCCCCGGTCCATTCTGCCGCTTAGCATCCTTTCTTCTTTCTCTTCTCCCCTCTCTTTTTCTATAAAACAAAACACCAGCGCTGCTGCTCCGAAAAATCCTTCCCACACGAAAAAAAATCTCTCAATAGCTAAGTAGCGACCAACTAGCCAATTCCCAATTAGAATTGTTCTCCTCCCTCCACCCACCAAACAGCCTGTCCTTTGAACGACTTTTAGTCGGCGGAAGTTCATCATCATGGGTTGCGAGAAGGATCTCAACTTGGAGGCCACCGAGCTCCGATTAGGCCTCCCCGGTTCCACGGCGAGCGCAGAACCACCCACCCCTTCCAATATTAGCAGCAATAACAAAAGACAACTCGCTGACATCAACCCAGATTCTGGGTTCAGATCCGCCGCCGTCAGTAGCTCTTCCTCCGGCGATAAGAAGAGCGACCTGGATCAGTCTGCTCCCCCTGCCAAGTAAGCAAATCTTCATAATCCCGGTATTAGTTTTCGAACCAAGGTGCTGAAATTTGTAACTAACCTTGCTTATTCTATTTTATTTCTATGAACTACAGAGCTCAAGTGGTTGGGTGGCCGCCGGTGAGATCTTTCCGGCGAAACGTTCTCCAGCAACAGGCGAAGAAAACCGCAACCGAAACCGAATCGGCCGGCGGGAACTACGTCAAGGTGAGCATGGACGGGGCACCGTACCTGAGGAAGATAGATCTGAAGGTTTACAGTGGGTACCCGCAGCTGCTGAAGGCGCTGGAGGAGATGTTCAAGTTCCGATACATAAACGGGTCGGATTTCGTAGCGACTTACGAGGACAAAGATGGGGACTGGATGCTGGTGGGTGATGTTCCGTGGACCATGTTCGCCAATTGCTGTAAAAGGCTCCGAATCACGAAAGGGTCCGACGCTAGAGGGCTCACTAGCGGCGGCACCGGCGGACTCTGAGCAGGGGCGGAGAAAGAAAGAGCTCAGCCGATGGTGGATTTTTGGTTTATGGCATGCTATTTTGAGTCGTGGGTGTATTCTGGGATCTGAAGTTTCATTTTTAAGTATGAAATTGTACAAAAGGAAGATTTATGGATGTATGTATGTAGAGCTTTCGTGGGTTCCGATAGCACTAATTTGCCGTTAAATTGTTATTGATATTAGAATCAATACCCCGACTACGCCGCAAGGAACTAAAGTAGTTGCAGCATAATTGTATGGTGGCCAATTCAGTAATGACAAACTCAGGATTAGGGGTGGGCAACGGGAAACGGGTATTTGGGTATACCCGTACCCGTCCCGTTTTTTTAAGAGTTACGGGTACCCATATTACCCGTAATATTTTAAACGGATGGGACTTGGGATTGTACAATCCTAATACGGGTACCCGCGAGTTACCCGCAATTATCCGTTTGGGTAATATGGGTACCCGTTGTACCCATTCAAATTACAAAGAAATATTTAATTCAGCCCATGCGCCCAGGCCCAACCCAATTCAAAATCCATTTTCGCCGGCCCTTACCCACTGAGAGACGCGCAGCTTCTCCTTCTCTGGAATTTGGAATCTCAATTCTCAAGAGTCAAGTCTGTCTTGTGTCTTGTCCCTGGCTGGAGGAGTCCATTAGCAGTGTATCTGGCTTGACTCTACTTCCTTCTTGGCTGTGTTGACTGTGGCAGTGGGTAATGAGTTTGTTTTTTGGGATGTAATTGTCTTTAGCTAAATTGTCTTTAGCTAAAAAGTCGGTGAGAAAAATGAATGATTGTGTTTTGAAATGAATGCTTTGGATGTAATTGATTAATGTCATTTAAACTTTGGGTATTTATGGGTAGTATGGGTACCCGTTATCCGTCCCGTACGGGTAACGGGTACCCATTTCCCATATGAGTTTGGGATATGGGATGGACTTTGGTCTCCAAATGGGACTGGGTACCCATTTAAAACGGGACGGGTATCCCGTCCCGTCCCGTTGCCCACCCCTACTCAGGATCGTGCTACTGGCAACAGGAAATGGATATGAGACTTTTGTATCTTGAATTCTATAGTTAATCAGCATAGAAATATAGCTCACAACACAACCATCATTTGCGAGGCTAGAGGTGTAGAAATTTATCCCCATAATTTTTTTGTGTACCATCATTCTAATAGGCTAATAACTAAGTGGTGAAAAGATAGAGAACGTTCAAAACCAATCGTCTATTAATTCAAAAAATAGCAGAATAATAAGCATACTTTAAGAGTTTCCCACCAAATCCAACTCATTGACATAGTTCTAGAAAGGAGATACAAATTCATGGCTACATCGAAGAGTTTCCTACCGAAACTTTAAACTATATCTTGTTCTGCACCTGCATCTCTTATTTTAACATGCCCCTGTTTTTTGTCCACAAATTTGCGCAACATAAACTTCCGGTTTCACATCTTCAAGTTCCAGCTTGGATTTCTTCATCTATTCTTTCTTTGCTGTGTCCTTCCATCCGTAATCTTGATCTTCATGCTAACTTCCTTGGCTTGCATAATCTCGTCACTCCTGATGTTTCCTCTCCATCTTGTTTCTTTGGTGTGTCCTTTCATCCACAATCTTGACCTTCATGCTAACCTCCTTGACAACTTTAGTTCCGTTTAAAATTTGGACCCATACCCCCAAAGATATAAGAAATTATTTGAAAAGAATCACCCAGATTTTTAGGAGCTAAAAGCGCAGGACAGTTGAGACGAAACTCAATTGTTTAACCTATGGATTACAAACCAGAAAAGAATGCAAGCTTGAAACCAAAGCATCAATGCCCATTGAGATTTCAGAAACTGAATCCACAATTACAAATGGATCTCGTTCGCATTCCCAAGGTCAAATTAATGTAAGGTAGAAAATCCCCAAAAGCAAATTCGACCAAACCATAAGGGGAAGCATAAAATATGAAATAACTGCTCTTTTCGATTTTGTATCTCTATATCGCACTGGAGTTGCTTTGGAGCTGCAATTGAAAGAGACGAACAAATATCAGTTTTATGTGATAAGAGAAATTGCTTAGAACATAGTTGTAGTGTAAGTGAAGCTTAGAAAGGATGACTGACACCATTCGACTGTGAGACACATGGACATAGAAAGTTTATTTTGTGAGCGATTCCAAGTCCAAGTTCAAGCAGTATACACCACGGTGAGAGCTGTCAACTAATAATAAGAGCTAATTTTCAGGCATCAACACATAATGTGGTACCTACAGTAACAAAGGAGACATCAAGAAGACAAACTTCACTACAAACATGATGATTAAATAGAAATCCGAAATCTAACTTCACCACAAACATGATACTGCAGCTATATGCCCCCCAGTAAGTAATCCAAATGAAGCCTGCTACTTTAATTTGTGTTGACCGTTGTTTCGCCACTTGTGCCTAATTCGGCTTCTATATTGGATTTTACTTGAGACCCTTCCTTAGCATTTGCCAACTTTTCGACCTAATAACATTATAGTAGCACCAAGTTCTAATTCAATGTCTATCACATCAACAACACCATCATCCCTAGCTACTAATATATCTTGCCTTCTTTGTCGAACATGTCAACATTTAGAACCGCTATTGCAAGACTAAAAGCAGGATTGCGACACTGTCTTGTATTATTGCTATTGTTAGACCCTGCAGTGACGGTAAGATTATAATAAGAGATTGCTCAAGAAAAAACTCAAGAGTACCATTAAAGGAGAGGAAGCTTATAGTGGGTTTACAAACCCAAATCACTAATTTGGACTGGGCGCCCTTTTGAGAAGTCCCACATGATGAGCTTTGAGTCAAGACCTCCAGTGATAACTGCCACATAAATTATGTCAATTATTAAAATAGCTAGGTTGCAGTTTCCAGACTTTTCAGAAAAGTGGAGGGAAACATGGTTATATACAATTCAAATATCATAAAAGCTCAGTTAAAATACCTTCTCATGGTCTCCAAGGAATAAGCATCACATTGCTATAGATCTCAGATACAGTTAAGTTTGAAGGAGAAGAAGAACCTTGAAATCAACAGTAGTTAATCTAACATCTTAAAGTCAACGAATTAGTGAAGGATACACTTGAATGGCCAGCCTGCGTGTTCTTATCCCACTTTGGCATATCAGTAACCGCAAAAGCAACACTCCACCACAACTACTCCGCCCTCCAGTTCATCAAAAGCAAGTGTCACTTGGATTCAAATTAACCACAGACATTAAGGCATGGTCAAAACTCCCTTCACCTCTCTGCCTGTGACATTGTAAGAATGGGATTAGAAACCACAAATTCTCATTGACAATTTATGTGGTATATAATTTTTTTATCTTATACTGAGGCGAATTACATGCTCATCTGCTATTATAAACAATACGTGATACTGGCCACCACTCTCCTCAACAATCGTCATTGCCTTCTCAATGACAGGTGCAAACGAGACTGGACCTACCAGAAAAATACGTATAAGCTTCAAAAAATAATTTAGTGTGGTAATTCTAGCTATGGAAACGATGACTCAGGAAACATGTAAACCGGATCAGCAAGTATGAGGCTCAAAACAAATTCACAATACCTCTCATCCGTAGAGAAACTGAAGACATCCTAATTGTTTGTCGGAGATGTCAATGGATAGTAGTAACTCTCAACAACACAAATTGCTTTGTAATTCAATTATCGAAAACAATTCTTAGAGTTGAGACCCTACCGTCTCCAAATCTGTAGCACGGTATCAAGTTATCGTCATTAAAGGCAACTAAATTCTTCCCAATAATCAATTGCTTGCTTGGAGGGATTCAAAGCATCTCCCATGTGATGCAAATTTCTTCTGTTGTAGACTTTGCACCTAGTGACCAAACCATATTAAGCACCATGTTCAACAATGCATCATAACTTACATATCAAGTAGACAACAGAAACATATATCTGTCCATTTGTTGCTCTTCGTAAAGTCAATTCTAACAATAAGATGTCATGATTCAAGTCTAGCATGTGCAAGAACTTCAGTCACCGGGTTACCACAACCAGGTGCAAAGAGTGAAATGCATGCATAGCCATAAACTTATCTCACTAAGCCAATTCTCATCCAGTAGACCACAAATAGACAACGTAATCTCGAAAACACTTCATCTTGCTCTCCTGCAGCTCCTCTCTCTTGGGAAGCAAGAGCGCCTTTGCTTCAATGAAATGCAGCGAGGGGAATCACCACTCAAAACGTGGCCGTCGATCGATGAATTGAGAAAGATAGTACCAAAGAATCAATTAGTTGAAACAACAATCGTCCAACCCCAATATATATATCCTCTCGTGTATTCACATACCTGGAGCCGACCCGGGCTGAAATGGGCCGGGTGCTTGAACCGACTTTATCCCTTTCTTACCAGCCGATGGCGGCTGAAACGAATCGAATTCCTTCAGCTTCATTTTACTTGACGCAACAGCGCTCTTCCAGTCCACGACCAAAGCATTGTGGCCGGCCCAAACGGCGAGAATGGCAGTTCCCGTAACTTCAGCAACTTGTCCTTGGTGTCTCCGTGTAGCTTCACTTGAACTCCAACGAAGCTTTGTCGATGACGTAAGAGAGACATCTTCGCTGAGCTTGACTTTAGCTATCTGGTTGACAGGATGGGGTTGTGCGGAGACCTTCGCGACCCGACGGAAAGTAGGTTGTTGAGCGGTCTTAGGGTCTTTGTGTTTGGAGTATTTGGATCTTTGACCAAGTATCCACAAAATTGAGGGCGAAGACGGCGTCCCCACAGACCTTAAATTCCTCCTGCATTCGATCCGGCGAGAGCACGACATTCGGATAGTAAGGGTCGACCATGTTCACAGTGGAATTGAATCGTCTGGCGCGGCGGATGGCATCCTTGAATTCCTGCAGCGAGCACCGCTGCTCCTCGAACTTCCGATCATTCGCGTTGTTCAACCGGGAGAAGCGGAGCTCTGTAGGAAGGCGGTGATGCGGCCGTTGTCGTCTTTTCGTTCACTAGGAAAGAGGTTCGAGGAAATCACAAATGACAAAAAGGGAAACTCAGAAAGGAAGAAGTAGCTAGAGGAAAAGATGAATTTGGAGATGGGTATGTAGAAGAAGATGAACTGCAGGCGGGACGATAGATCTTCTTCGGTTTCTTACTTTTCTCCCCCTCCTTCGAAAGACAGAGACAAAGAGCTTAGAGGTTTTTTGTTCTCCTCCTCTTCCTCTTCTTGGGCAATCTAGAAAAAGCATGGGCAATGAAGTGTTTGAGTGGGTCTGCAGAGGTTGCTATATTGAGAAGTAAACTGGAGTGGTGAGGGATGGGATATGATTGAAGGGGTGGTGTGCTAATATGAATTTTGGGCTTAGATTGTGAGATGATAGCAGGGCGGATCGCCGATGGATGAAAAGGGAAGGGACATG